GTGTGAGGATTGAGCCCTCAAGTAGGGGCCTTGCCATGTTGTACATGTTTTGGGCTAAGGCCCCAGCAAGCCTAGTGCCCGCCCTAAGTGAAGGCGGCCCAGCAAATCAACAAGAGCCCTCTCGGCCAACATTTCACGAAGTGGGGTCTATACAGTTGCAGCACGCCAGTTGGTTGGAGTGCACCGAGTCTCGGATTTCAGCAAATGCTGAAATACCCAGGGCCTCTGAGATAGTTAGGCCCTGGGCACTCGAACGTGAGGCCGACAATGCATGCTGGGTAGAGAGGCCGAAATGCCAAAGGGAAAATCAGCCCACTATCTGAATCTGGCCGCAGGCCTTGAGAAGAAAGGCACAACTGCATTGCTCCGCTGCCCAACTGTATCAGGAAGGCTTTAGCCTCTGGGTCCCGGTCGCAGGCTGAAGGGAGGCCGCCCACATGCTGCATTGGCATATAGGCAATTAGGGCGAGGCAGCAAGCATCTTGGCCAATGCTGGCACATGCGGGCACACTGCGCGAATGCATGTGTGCTGCGCTGTGCAAGGCAGTGCTGCGCTAAGAGCAAGCAGGCCAGCGCTAGGCGGTAGGGCGCTGCCTACACTGAGGGCACTGGCGGCCATAGCCTGGGCCGCAAAACGGTGCAGGGGAGGTGAGGGCGAAGGTGGTACTTCGGAGGTGAAGGGCGCTGTGTGGGTACAAGGGAGAGTGTGGGGAAGATGACACGTACATGGTGATGGTGGAGGATTGCATTGGTGTTGACATCATCACTCGCTGGTAGTCAAGTTGTCTAGTTGTTGTTCATTGCTGTAGTTGTAGGATAGGTTGTAGAGTAGATAGGGCGCCTGGCGCCATTCACTAGAGAGAGCTACATTTGGGTTATGCTGTTGGTGTTGCCCTGTTGGGCATGGACATACTCACGATTCTTCTGTATCATTCTCAATGGGATGGTTACTCGGTTCCATGTGCTATCTGCTTTGGCTTTGAATACTTGGATTTCAGTGTTATATTGCATTCTGGATTTCTGTGCTTCGTCCATACTCATGTTCCTTGCAATTTGGTATCGGAGCTGGTTTGATCGCCACTTACCTTTGGCATGCAGGCGTTATACAGACTTGGTGCGTTAATGATGCTTCTTCGCAGTGGGTACTTGTGACGTCAGGCTACACTAGGTGCACGCCCTGGGTAGAGAGGGGTGCACCGAAAGGCTATTGACGACATTATTAGTCGTGGGATACAGCGGAATGTTTGATTGGTGATGAGAGCATGCTGATGTGCCATTGGACTAAGGTGGCACTGCATTGCGTTGTGGGTGGCACCGAGGTCATGACAGGTCATCAAATGCAACATCAGCTCAATTGGTGAGAAATCTGTCGTTGGGGGCAGCTATCTCCAGGTACGTTGTTCCCTTACCTTATCTACTCTCTCAATCTCTTCTTACCGTGAGGAAGTGAGTCCAACTTGAGAGTCCTCTCTTTTGGTGAGGTGTCGTGAGCGCGCTACCTTGAGAGACGACAATCTTCCCGGAAGCATACTGGAAGAGGAAAGGGCGGTGCCGCTGAAGGGCCCTGGTCGAAGCACTTGGGTCACGGTCACCATGCCAACCCACAGGGAGTAGTGCACGCATGCGATGGCTGCTGTCATGTTTGGCACTTGCTGCGCTGATAGAAGTTCCTCTGGGTGTGCCAGCCCATGACATAGGCTCACCAGACCGTCTATAAATATTTCTGGTTGGGAGTTCATTGTGATTCTGGCTGTGATCGTCGTCCTGACTGCGACGTTAAATAATTCCTGAAGAGATGGGGGCGCTCTATAAATCCCTCCTGATCAGCCAGATCACATGGACAGGAAGGCTCGTCGCCGTACGAGGGTAAATAAGAGTGGTTGGGCTGGCTTGCTCGGTGACAACTTGGGCACAAGGGTGGGCCGAAATGCACACGAAGACACTGCCTGCTCAATGATGCTGTTCGGATGGTTGGATTGAGGGGAGGGTAGGTTTCAATTGGTGCTCAACTGTATACACAACCATACCCATCAATCATACATCTGCTACATTGTTTTTTTTTACCTTTGATCAGTTGGTTGACGGACTGCTAACCTCACAGACAGAGTAGTGTAGGACTGTTGTATGCTACCATAGCCAGTACTAACTAATCCTGTTGTAAGTGAACCAGTCAGGGTGCATCTAGACTATGTAGACGATCTGTGTGAATGTTGTAGACATGCCACTTGATTCGGTATAGTAGGGGACTCGCCGAATACAACTATATATAGAAAATTTTGTGTCGGTCAGATACATGCTGCGGTAGGATTCCACTAGGGGATTCTAGTGTAGACAATATCTGTCTAACTAATGAGTGGGTCAGATCCTGTTGATGATAGAGCTGACAATAGGAGACTAACACGTGCATGGGCACTAAGGGTACCGCACTTGCTTCAGGCCTTGGAGCCGGGAGACGAAAGAAGGATACGTAGAGCTCGTGCGCTAGCAGAGGGAATAGCAGAAACAAACAGAGCAGCAAGAGAGCAGGCAACAGCAGCCAGAGCAGCTGCGATGGCTAACGGCGCAAGCTCTGCTGCGTCATCATCTGCGTCCTCGTCAGGGAATAGTGGGATGAGTGTGGGAATGCCAACTAGTTCCACAATTTCCTTAGACACTTCTGGTTCCACAGGCTCTAGCCAGTCTTCTAGTCAAATGGCGGGCTCGCAGTTCAGCCCGTTGACCCCGCGTCAGAGGGAGCTCAGAGAGATCCAGCAGGTCGAGATGCTCCGCCGTAAGTTAGAGAAGGACCTGGAAGATGCTACCGATAGAGAAAATACGATGAAAACTAGAGCAGCCAAGTTTGAATCTTTAGAGGCTGACAAGGCTGAACTAGAGGGCTTGGATGAGTCGGCGTTGACTGACCCACTGAAGGTATTGAAGAAGAACATGCTGTCACTACACGCACACGTGGACAGCAAGTTAGACTTCATGCAGAGCACTCTAGACCAGATCCTGGATGCTTTGACAAGGCCAGGATTCCGGTCACCAGCACAATCGTCATTGTCGTTATCGGCGATGTCAGGCCCCTTTCCGGTTCAAGCTGGCACACAGCCAAGTGGCACATCTGCAGCAGCCGCTCAGACTGTTGCATCTTCTTCTTCGGTTCCAGCGGTGGTTGCTACACCACCGCAACAATCTGTTCGTGCACAGGGACAGCAGCAAGGTCAATGGTATCCCAAAACCCCAATGAAACCGCCTCTTGCCTTCTCAGGCGAGAGAAAGGACGAGGAACTCAACACATGGTTGAGGATCGTCTCGGTTTGGGTGAAGGCAAAGAGGACCTTACCTGAGGACGAAGTGGTAACTGCTGCATCTTACCTCGAGGGTAAGGCAGCCAAGTGGTTAGATAGTGTAGGTATCAAGGTCGGGTATGGGAGACGCATGGCGGACTGGGCTAAGTCCCTGACATTAGACCAGTTTATGGAGATGGTAGAAGCTCGATGGCATAACCCACAGGAGGCACAAAAGGTCACTGATGCCATTAACAAACTGGACCAATGCAAGTTCAGGTCAGTTAGGGAGCTTACGACTACCGTTGAGAGCCTAATCCTCGTTTTAGGTATCAACTACAGCGACCACTTCCTGTTAACAACGTTTGTTGGATGTCTCCCTGAGAACATCAGGAACTTACTAGCCAGTGAGGCACGCACTGAGTACCACTCGTTTGAGACATTGTCTAGGAAAGCCTTAGACTTAGAAGTCACCCTAGGCAATGCTCAACCCACCTCAGGAAATGACTCAAAGAAGAAGAAGAGTTCTCAGGAGTGGAAGAAGAAGGGGGCAGAGTTGATGATGGTGGAGTCCGATGGGACTCAAACTGAGATCGACGAGCTCTCTGACCTCGTGGACTATTCAGAGTATGACGGCGAGGAGGTAGCTGAGGGTAGCACCCTTGCCGCGGTAGTAAAGACTAAGGCAGGTGGCCGAGGGAAGGGTCAACTGAGGAGTCAAGGGAAGGCCGCCTCCAATCAGACCAAACAGTTTGAGTGGGTAAAGGCAGGTCTTGATCAAGACGTGTGGCGTGACCACCGAATGTGTGGCGCTTGCATCAACTGCGGAGAATACGGACATACGCAGTGGAAGTGTCAGAATGCTAAGGTTACACAAAAGGTTGCTCCAAAAGTAGGGACAACCTATTCCCAGGCTTCTAGCTCGGGAAACGCGTAGGGCCAATGGATATAGTAGCGGCTTCTACTCAAGATGAAGTGGGAATGATACCCTCCTCACTGCATGACAAGGCCGAAGCTAATGACTCCTTAGTCACCCCGCAGGCACAACTAGACCAAACTATGCTCTGTACGTTAGATGTGTCTAAGGGCTTAGAAGACTTAGAAGGCGAGTGGTCAAACAAGGACCCTCGCGAGTCTTGGGTGGCGCTAAAGAAGGGTCCTAGAGGGGAACATTTCGTGGTGGAAGTGGATGTAGGGGGCCGCAAATGTGGAGCTTTCATAGACAACGGATTCACGCGAAATTAGATAAGTCGCGATTGTTTGGAAAGGCTGCACCTACAAGACCGGGTACGGCACCTTAGTAGACCAGTACCATCTACTTTGGCCAACAAAGAGCGCATGATTGTCACAGACTACATCAAGGACGTAGTCTGTACCTTCTCCTATGGAGGAGGAGAGCTTAACCATAAGATCTCGTTCTTGGTTAGTGACAATTTGCCATTCGAAATATTGCTAGGCATGTACTACCTCAAAGTTGCTAAGCCCCAGTTCGAAGGGATAAGAAGGTGCTCAAGCAAAAGTTGTCCGATGGCCGAACTGTCAGATTGACTAAGTTCAAGGCCAGCAGTATAGTAGATACCTATGGCTGCTTGTGTGCATCAGCATTTTACAATTATTATAAACAGAACCAAGAGGAGGGTATGTACCTTGTTTATGTCTCTGAGAAGGGGGAGGGTGTTAAAACACCCCAGAGATAGAACGCGTCGTTGCTAAGTTCCCTGATCTGTTCGACAAGCCCACAGGAGTTGTTGATAGGGAAGTCGTCCACGCTATAGAAATCATTCCAGGGAGTAAGACCCCAAAGGGAAGGATCTATAGGATGGCCCCTGCCGAGTTAGATGAACTTCGGAAGCAACTCAAGGAGCTGACAGAGAAGGAATGGATTCGGCCTAGTACTTCCCGTTACGGATCACCCGTGCTATTCGTACCAAAGAAGGGGGGTACTTTGAGGATGTGCATTGATTATAGGGGCCTCAATGCCATCACTGTGAAAAACGCAGAGCCTCTACCTCGCATAGACGACCTATTGGATAGAGTGCAGGGATGCAAGTACTATACGGAGATAGACTTGAAATCCGGATATCATCAGATCGCGATAGGACCTGAGGACCAACACAAAACAACTTTTCAGACTAGATATGGTCTGTATGAGTTTGTAGTGATGCCTTTCGGTCTTTGTAATGCCCCGGGTACATTCCAGCACGCTATGAATCGGATCTTCCATGACCATTTAGATAAGTTCGTCGTAGTCTATCTAGACGACATTCTGATCTTTAGTTAATCTGTCGAGGAGCACGCACAACATGTTGAGACAGTTCTCTCACTCCTACGACAACACAAGTATAAAGTCAACTTAGAGAAGTGTGAATTCGGTCGCACTAAGATACTATACTTGGGTCATGAAGTATCCACGGAGGGGATTAGGCCGGAAGATGCGAAGCTGGCTAGTATTCGAGACTGGCCACGACCTCAGACAGTCACTGAGGTCAGATCATTCTTAGGAATGTGCGGCTACTATAGGAACTTCGTAAAGAACTATTCTACAGTCGCCTCTCCTTTGACTGATCTAACTCGACTAGACACACCGTGGGACTGGAGTGATGAGTGCGAGGGTGCTTTCAAGAAATTGAAGCATGCACTCATGAATCATGAAGTTCTCATTGTTCTCGATCCACAAAAGCCATTTATAGTGACCACTAACGCAAGCCAATACGGCATTGGCGCAGTGCTGGCTCAGCAGGATGGAAAAAAGTTGAGACCGATTGAGTACATGAGAAAGAAGATGCCATCGAAGAAGTTGGCTAAGTCCACCTACGAAAGGGAACTCTATGCTCTCTACAAGACACTTGTCCATTGAAGACATTTCCTTTTGGGAAGGTTCTTCTACCTGAGGACTGATCATCAGACCCTCAAATGGATGAAGACTCAACCGGCTCTTTCCGATACACTCAAGCGATGGATTAAGGTCATAGACCAATATGACTTCAAGCTTGAGTACCTGAAGGGAGAGTACAACAAGGTTGTGGACGCGCTATCCCGTAGAGCAGACTACCTAGGTGCGCTAGTTTCTGAATTTGGTGTATCTAACGAAGTAACTCAATCATTGGTGGGAGCCTATCAGGAGGACCCTGTCATGATGGACATCATCCGCAAACTTCAGGCAAAAGACAAGGCCACAGAAAGTGAGTTTGTGATGGTGGATGGGCTAATCTATCTTGATAAGGCCGGAGTAAAGAGATTGGTAGTTCCATCTAGTGAACAGTTGTGTAGTTTATTTTTAGGCGAATGTCATGACACAACTGGGCATTTTGGCTACAAGAAAACGAGTGTTAACTTAGCACAGCGATTTTGGTGGCCCAGAATGTTAGATGACGCAAAGAAATATGTTGAGAGTTGTCAGGTCTGTCAGCGGGACAAGCCGCGAACTCAAGCACCGCTTGGGTTATTGAAGCCTTTACCTATTCCCGATGGTCCAAGATTGAGTGTTTCCATGGATTTCATGGACACTCTTGTGACCAGCAAGAGTGGTAAGAGGCACATTTTCGTCATCATTGACCGATTCACCAAATACGCTAGACTAATTCCAATGCCGGAGACAGCCAGGATGGAATACGCTATCAAGTTGTTCAAGGACAACTGGGTAAGGGACTTTGGTTTACCAAAGACCATCATTAGTGACCGAGACGTCCGATTCACAAGTGAGTTGTGGAAGAAGACTGCGGAACAGATGGGCAGTCAACTTCARATGACTTCAGGGAATCATCCCGAAGCCAACGGACAGGCCGAACAAATGAATAGAGTTGTACAGCACTTGCTGAGGCATTACAGCAAGCCCAGCCAGGACGACTGGGATGAGCAGTTACCTCTCATCGCCAGCCTGTACAACAACGCTATACATAGTAGTACCGACGTTAGTCCTAACGAGCTGCACTTAGGATGGAAGCCTAGATCAGCATTAGAGTTCCTCCTACCTGAAAACCGACCCGCTGCAACTCCAGGCACACTTGAATACGGTGTGCAATATGAGAAGTTGCTGCAAAACGCTGTTGAACATATGAAGAAAGTTCAGCAAGCCATGATTGCTTCTGAGAATCAACATCGCAGACAGTCCACATTTCAGGTAGGGGAACGTGTCTGGGTCAAGGCTAGTGAGTTAGGATAGGAATTCAAAATACCTCGCAAACTGATGCCTCAATACTTTGGACCCTGGGAAGTCTTGGATGTAGTGGGAGATAAGCTGGATGGTCCCACATATGTCATGGGTGTCCCTGGACACCTACTCACTCACCCAGTCTTTCAAGCCTCAAAGCTTGCACCTTTCGCTGAGACTGATCAATTTCCTTCCAGGAGATCGATGCTGCCCCCAACCATGGATGGACAAGTCAACATCAACGACATTGTGGAACACAGGGATATGCATGTTCAGAAGCCGTTGGGTCGAGGAAGAAGTCCTAAACCCAAAACAGAGTACCGTATCAGATTCAGGCATCATACGGACCCTAAAGAAGATCGGTGGTTCACTCGGGAGGAACTGATGGAAACAGCTCCTCAGGTGGTGGCAGATTATGAACGGAAGCTAAAAGGGAAGGCACCTCCGAAGTAAGCATCTCAGCGGACTTTCGAAGTTAAGGGGGCTGGAATGTGAGGATTGCGCCCTCAAGTAGGGGCCTTGCCATGATGTACATGTTCTGGGCTAAGGCCCCAGCAAGCCTAGTGCCCGCCCTAAGTGAAGGCGGGCCAGCAAATCAACAAGAGCCCTCTCGGCCAACATTTCATGAAGTGGGGTCTATACAGTTGCAACACGCCAGTTGGTTGGAGTGCACCGAGTCTCGGATTTCAGCAAATGCTGAAATGCCCAGGGCCTTTGAGTTAGTTAGGCCGTGGGCACTCGAACGTGAGGCCGACAATGCATGCTGGGTAGAGAGGCCGAAATGCCAAAGGGAAAATCGGCCCACTATCTGAATCCGGCCACAGGCCTTGAGAAGAGAGGCACAACTGCATTGCTCTGGGGCCCAACTGTATCAGGAAGGCTTCAGCGTCTGGGTCCCGGTCGCAGGCTGAAGGGAGGCCGCCCACATGCTGCATTGGCATATAGGCAAGCAGGGCGAGGCAGCAAGCATCTTGGTCAATGCTGGCACATGTGGGCACGCTGCGCGAATGCATGTGTGCTGCGCTGTGCAAGGCAGTGCTGCGCTAAGAGCAAGCAGGCCAGCACTAGGCGGTAGGGCACTGCCTGCACTGAGGGCACTGGCGGCCATAGCCTGGGCCGCAAGAGGGTGCAGGGGAGGTGAGGGCGAAGGTGGTACTTCGGAGGTGAAGGGCGCTGTGTGGGTAACAAGGGAGAGTGTGGGGAAGATGACACGTACCTGGTGATGGTGGAGGTCTACATTGGTGTTGACATCATCACTCGCTGGTAGTCAAGTTGTCTGGTTGTTGTTTATTGTTTTAGTTGTAGGATAGGTTGTAGAGTAGATAGGGCGTCTGGTGCTTTTCACTAGAGAGAGCTACATTTGGGTTATGTTGTTGGTATTGCCCTATTGGGCATGGACATTGACTCACGATTTTTCTGTATCATTCTCAATGGGATGGTTACTCGGTTCCATATGCTATCTGCTTTGGCTTTGAATACTTGGACTTCAGTGTGATATTGCATTCTAGATTTCTGTGCTTCGTCCATACTCATGTTTATATTGAGACGATATATATATATATAGGGTAACCGACGTTCGGGACAGGCTGAAGGCCCGAACCCGAATGCCCGAACATATGGGAACCCTTGGGGATGCTTTCGGCCGTTCGGGCCGAACGCGGACCCAAAAAAACAAACAAAAAAAAAACAACAACAAAGTCATCAAAAAAATCTGAAAAAAAGATATGTTATGGCGAAAAATAAACTAAACAAGATTTGCCTGAGCATTACGTCCGAATTCCTTACCAAATTTGAAATAAAAATAAAATACACAGAACAAACACTAATAATAAAAATAAATAAAAATAAAAAGAGAATTAAGCTTAGTGAGTGTGTG